CGAATGTAATTTTTGACCAAATTTGCTAATTTTTTCACAAAATTTTGCAAAAATAAATGCATTTCTGGGAGAAAACTTAAAAAAGACAAAAATTGAGTGACTACACAAAATTTTGCTCAAAATAACATTAATTTTTGACACAAAATTGAAAATTTTTAAATTTGTGTTTCAGCCCGGGGAATTCATCCACACTTTGGGGGACAGTCACGTCTACTTGAATCACGTCGAGCCGTTACAAGAACAACTCAAAAGGACCCCAAAACCGTTCCCGAGTTTAAAAATCAAGAGACAGGTTTTGAGTATTGAGGATTTTGTTTTTGATGATTTTGAGTTAAGTGGTTATGAACCACACCCGAAATTGAGTATGCCGATGGCTGTTTGAGGTAAAAGAGTTTTTTTTTTTGTAAATAAAACATTTATTGAAACTATTCTCGCATATCTAGTGCCACATTAATGTGTCCCATTTTATTCACTCCCAATTTGACATTCAAATTCTCACAATTACTGTTATTATTATCGGTCATAGTGGCCATTATACCACCTATGGTACTAATAGTACCAATTCCTTCATTTGTAAAATCTGGTAGAATCCTCTTGTATAATTTTCTCGCCGCAAATTGCAACAAAACCATTTCAGCCAACATAAGAGTGTTGTGGATTACTACAAGAAATGAATTAATTAAAAATTGTGACGTAATTTTAATTACAATTTGCATAAACAGTTGGTGTTATTGGTGGTCGACAGGGTAAAATATCGATCCAGACTAGTCCTCTAGTGGCAGCCCCTTGCATTTTTGCTAAAACTAGTACCAACTGAAGAACGATAAATTTCGGTGGCATTAAATATTCATCACCGAGGAAACCTTTCAAAAGATTAATTGTCATAGCCATGCCCCAAACCCCGAACAAAATCGAAATAATAATCACTGGTTGCAAATACATGTAATTGACTTGATACAAACTCTAAAATTTTCAAAATTAGAATTTTTTTCGAAAATTTTAAACACATACTTCTCGTTCAGCCCACATGACTAAAAGCACCAAATAAACGAGTCCCTGAACGACGGGTAATTGCAAAACGAGGAGTCGTAATCGCTGAATTGTGTTCCTGAAAAAAATCCTGTAAAAAAAAATGATTCAAATTTATTTTACTCTACTTTGTGACTTCAATTGGTGGTAAAAAGAAGCAACAAGGCCAACAACAACATGGCATCACTCTCAAATTCAAACTTCCCGGTTTGACTTTACGAATTAGCTCGGCTTCGCCTCCACAATACGCCACAAAAAGGCAAAATAATTGGTACATTCCTGCCATAAAGGCGCCTTGAGTGATTGCCTCGGATAGGAGATGGGCACGTGGGACCAAAATTGCGAAATATGTCACTAAAGCCACCACCTACAAAAAAAATTATACAGGGTGTTCCGTTTTTATTGTTACAAATTTAAACAGGTGGTAGGATATTCAATTCTAAGACAAAAGTTTCCTATAAACATGTATCGAAAAATGCTTGGTAAGGGAGCTACACCCCCTGAAAGGGGGCTAATATGTTTTTGTTAATATTTCAGATAAAATTACAAAATTTGGTACAGATGATAATCTTTATACACCTAAACGAATTCAAACATCAAATGTCGAAATTTTTAATCAGGGGCGTACGAAACTGGGGGAGTTTAAGGTAAAAAAATACCCTATTTATTTTGATTGTTTTGATAAAATTTCCCCCAAAAACGAGCAAAAATCCAGCAAAACAACTATTAAATAACGTCATTTTTAATTTAATTTGTTGAAATTTTTTATCATACTTTGTCGAAAAAAACTGAATTTTTAGCTAAATGCTCAAATGTTTAAAAAAGATTTAAAAAAACATCATTTTTCGACTTGTTTGAGCGAAATTTTGCGAGAAAAGTGTATTTGTGACTAAAAAACTTGCTTCAACACCTGAAAAAAGTAATTTTGACTTAAAATGTTTTTTTTAACTTTTTTTGATAATATCTTATCTAAAAACAAGCTAAACAAGAAAACAATTTTTGAAAGTAACGTAACTTTTAATCTAATTTTGTGTTTTTTAAGTCTGTTTTGACAAAATCTTGCAAAATACTTAAGTTTCTCGCTTAAAAATTACTTAAATTGTGGTAATTTGGTAATTTTTCAGTTTATTTGAATCTAATTTTTTGAAAAAAAGTGCGTTTTTGACTGAAAAGTGTATTAAAACGGTGGAAAAGGTTAAAAATAATGACATTTTTGCCACGATTCAGTATTTTTTTTTGACTTAGCTTGCTGAATCAATTAAAAAACTTTCTGTTACAAAAATAACTTAAACGTACTAAGAAAGCAAAAAAAAAACACTATTTTTAACCTAATTTAGTGATTTTGTAGTTTATTTAAACAAAACTTTGCAAAAATGCGGTTTTGACTGTGAAAAAAAGGCAAAAATATTGATAAAATCATCAACTTGTTGATTTTTTTTGGCCTATTTTGACGAAATCTTTACCAAAAAGTAATAAATCGTGGAAAACAGTCAAAAACAATGTCAATTTTTAAATTTTTATTTTATTTAGTGGTTTTTCGATAAATTTTAGAAAAAATGATAAAAAAATAGTGGGCTAATATGTTTTTGTTAATATTTCAGAAACCATTTAAGATAAAATTACAAAATTTGGTACAGATGATAATCTTTATTCACCTAAACGAATTCAAACATCAAATGTCGAAATTTCTAATCAGGGGCGTACGAAACTGGGGAGTTTAAGGTAAAAAAATACCCTATTTATTTTGGCTTTAGTTTCTCGGTACTTCCAGCAACAAAATCTTAAGTTTGATAGTTTATCACAGAAAAGTCTCTCTTGTGTCGATACGACTTATTATTTTTGAATAAAATTAATTTAAAATTTATGTTACACCCCAATACAACATTCAAATAAATCAGAATTTACAGAATAATAAAAGCAAAAAATTCATATTTTTTAATCAACCTCAACTAATTAACATTACATTACAGTAACAATAATAACATTAATTAAATTGTCTAAATCTAAAAGAGTTGTTCAAAGTGACCACCATTTTGGTCAATGCATAACTAAAGAAACTAGAGCCAAAATAGATAGTATTTTTTTACCCTAAACCCCACCAGTTTCGGACGCCCCTGATTAGAAATTTCGACATTTGATGTTTGAATTCGTTTAGGTGTATAAAGATTATCATTTGTACCAAATGTTGTAATTTTATCTTAAATGGTTTCTGAAATATTAGCAAATTTTTCGATACATGTTTATAGGAAACTTTTCTCTTAGAATTGAATATCCTATCACCTGTTTAAGTTTGTAACAATAAAAACGGAACACCCTGTATAGGGTGTTTGACAAAAAGCAAAATTACCGGATAAACACCGATGACAAAAGCCGAGTAGGTTTTGACCCGTGATGAGGAATTTTTTATTATGTATCTGAGTGTATCAATGAACATTACTAAAACTAACACTACGGCCAATGTGCCAAGGGTTACTAGAGTCACTCCGTAGACGTTGGTGGCTGAAATGAAAAATTTAATACATTTGAAAAAAATTTACCCGCCACTGGTCACACTTTATCACCATAGTGATTGGTAATTTTGTGTCGTGTTACTATAACAACATAGGGATTTCCATAGCAACCGTTACTAAAAAGTCACTAGCGACTCGTCATGATGTGAAATTTTGAGGAAGAAATGATTTTTTTTTATGTAATAATCGTGTTTATGTAATCACGAAAAAAAATAGTGAATATGTAGCACGACCGGAGAGAAAACAAGGTGAAAGTCAAAAAAAGTCGAAGAAAAGTTTAATTTCAGTTTCTTTGGTATGTTGCGTAATTGAAATGTGGATCATGTCAGTTGGTATACAGTGTTCCTATTATTATTTTAAATGTCTTTAGTAAAAGTAGATGAAATTTTTTACCTGATAAATATTCCGGAATGGATGGTATGTCCATAAGGGCACATGTTCTATTTTTGTTGAAAAAATCCATTTTTGTCACTTATCAGTAATTATTTCACAGTTTTTGACATTTTAACGTTTATTTATTCATTAGTTTTGTTGATGCAATTTTACTAATACCATGTCAATGAATGGACTGAAGTGTACATTCCACCATCAGAAATAAGACACAAGAGGGGGTCGCTACGCCAACTTTCTTAAAGTTACATTAAATATTGTGCAACTTTGTCAATGAAGAATGGAGGAAATTCAAATAAAATATTAACCTTACTCGAAAGCAACTTTTTATCACCGACAAAAATTTAGCATATGCAATTATGGTAAATTATTTAAACGCTTTGTTTCTAATTCAAGTTTTTTTACCAATTTTTTTTTTAAGCAATTTACTAAGTTCCCTTAAATTGATGATTTTAATTATTAAACTAGTGAAAAAACAATGTTTATTTCTTACTCGTTATTCATTTATTGGTAAATTTGAAATTTCTATTATGTTAATGTGTGTTTCCAGTTGCCAAAGTATACACTAAAAATTCTTGTCCCCGACAACAGATAATTAACAGAAGTTTTATTTGTCAACAGTAACAGATATTGTTTTATCAAATTTTGCGTTTTTTAGGCTTATTTTTGACTAAATTTTGCTCAAAATCGAGTGAAAAAAGCTAAAATAATATCAGTTTCGATTTAATTTAATAATTTTTCAGACAGTTTTAGTACATTTTCAGTTTTCCTGTAGATATGACAATTTTTTTTTGCTGTTTCGGAAAAGATAAAAAAATCTCTTTTTATGCAAATTCCAAATTTGAAACCAGTTTGTGTCCATCGGTTTTCCGATTTTGTTCATCAGTTCAAATTTTCGTTAAAAACGTGCTTAAAAGATAATAAATAACATTACTTTTGTCCAAATTTTGTGTTTTTTCGGCTTTCTTGACTAAATTTTGCCCAAAAATCAAATTAAATCAAATGACACAAACTAAATAACAATAATTTTGATTTATTTCTGTGGTTCAAATGGAGTGAAACAAGATAAAATAATATCAATTTTGATCTAATTTGGCAATTTTCAGCCTATTTAGGCACACTTTTTTTTTTAAAAAGTGCTTTTTTATTTCTAAAAGGTGCTGAAATAACTCGAAAAGAGAAAAAATAACACCATTTTCAC